ATTATTTTATTTTAAATGATTAAAAAAAAAAAAAAAAGGATTTCTTTTTTCCGGTTGTACGAACCTTTTTTCTGTTTGTTTTTATTTTTATTTTTTTTTTTAAACTTCCAATACTACTCTTTTCGTTTTCTTCTTTTTTATTTTATTTTATTTTTTTTTTATCCTTTTTCCGTTTCCTTTTTTTTTTTTGTCCTACGGAAAATTATTTGATTGGAGAATTTTTTTTTTTAAAACTTTTTTACAGATTTTTTTTTTTTTGCTACAGAATTTAAAAGGTAGTGATTGACTTAAATAATCTTTTTTTTTTTTTTTTTCGTTTTTTTTCGTTTTTACTAAAAAATAAAATTATTTTTATGTATGAAAACCTTTTTTATTTTATTTTAAAGAAAATTATCGAGGCAAGATTAATATCGAGTTTTCTTTTCTCGTGAGTGTTTTTTGTATTTTTGAATGAAAAGGCTGAAATGAGCATTAAAATGTCACTACGAAGAAGGGAAAAATAATTTTTAAAAAAAAAAAAAAAAAGGTTTTTTTTTGCCCTCCCATTTTTTCCATTTTTTTTTTCGATTGCAAAAAGGTATTAACGACCTAAATAACTTTATAATTAATCAATTTCTCTTTGTTAAATAATAATAATAATAATAATAATAATAATAATTAGTTTTAAATTATCGACACATTAATACGTTTTTTTTTTTTTTTTTTGACTTTGTTTTAACCGACACAAACAACAGGTGATTAAATTTTTTTTTTAAATTCGAGATACCTGTATTATAAATATATTCAAACCTTGATAAGAACCTAAACCTTTTTATATTAAAAAAAAAGCGGGTATAAAGTTCAAAATTAAATTTCCCGTCGAAAAATATTCTTTTAAGTTTATAATATTTAACTCATACATTATTTGATAATGTAAGATATGGCGTATGAGAAAAAAGAAAATGTCACATAAAATAAATAATTTTAAAAAAAATGAGTTAAATTGATGAAAACCCCGGATGATGGATTTTCTTTGTTAGAAAAAATATTTAAAAAAAAAAAAAAAACCGTCAAAAGAATTTTAAATGTATGAAACAATACGAAATGAATCAAACGAGAAAAGGTTCGTTTTGAACCCTTTTTTCTTCAACCTACAGGTTGCGGTGTATAAACTAATGAATGATGTGATGCATATTTTTATTCCTTTAATTTTCTCTTTCGATCCCTTTTATTTGTTTCCTTTTTTCGAGAGAGAGAGAGAGAGAGAAAAAAAAAGGTCGAATCCTACTAATTTCAAAACCTATCGACTTTTAATAATTACATTCAAACAATTTGAATTTGTTTCTTTTTTTTTCTGTTAATTATTTAAATTTGCATGCGTGGTGTGCGTGTGCGTTTTTTCGTGCGTAATTAGTTTTTTTTTTTTTTAATTAAACGACTACGACGTTTGTAGGCAATATTGTTATTTGTTTTGAGCTTTTTAAATATCGTTCGGTCGTTATTTACGCATAAATGAAAATATCCTACGACATAACACATAATAAATCACGAGAGCGGATATTAAACCTATACACATATATATTTAAAAATTTTTAAATTAAAATATTATAATACGGTTATTGAGAGTTATAACACCCACGCACAAGATAACTTATATTATTAATATAAATATTTATTTTTTTTTAAAAATATTATTACTCTTTTAACTATTTTTAATGGCGCGAGAAATTTATTTTTTAAAATTTACAAAATTGAAAAGTTTTTTTTTTTTTTTATGGACTTCTACATACATACTTCTAAGAATCGAAAAACGAAATCTCTTAATTTAATGTTGGATCGAATAATCAGGTACATAAACACATAAAAAACAAATGAATGCGTCGATAACAATGATAATAATAATAATAATAATACCTAACAAAATCGAATCCTCAATGTTTGATTATAAAACCCAAAATTTACTAAAACCACGACAATTTTTCCCACGAGCCTACCTACAAATATACCGCCGATTTTTGTCACACTCACGGCGGTATATCGCCGCCAATTAATTACTAATAATTATTAAAATTATTACATTTTTATTACCCGGTAAAAAAATTACTCGATAATATTTTGTAATAAAAAAAAAAAAAAAAAAAACTCACCTAAATGATGGAATGAAAATCAAGAGTTGTCGCCATTTTAAGCAGAGCGATGGAGTTTATTCTATTACGAACAATAACAATCACAACACATTCCGCGTTTTCCATAATTAAAAAAAAAAACAAATCACGTGATAATAATAATAATAATAATTTGTAAATTTAAAAAAAAAAAAAAACAATTTTCTTTATAACTTTCCCGTAATTTTTTAATTTTTTTTTTTTTTTAACGAGAATAACAAAACACAAACAAACAAACAAACGATTAAAATCACAAAATGAAGTAAAACCGTTCACTTTATTCGTCACCGAACGATATTTTTTAAAAATTTTTATTTACATATAATAAATAAATAAATAAAACAAACACAAACGCGCACAGAAACACAACACAAAACAATATTTAAACGTTTTTTTTTTTTTTTTTAAACCACAAACGATTTAATACGAAACAAACAAACGAAACATTATTAAAAAAAAAAAAAAAAAAAAACTCGTCGCGTTAACTCCCGTTAAAAATTTTTATTTAATAAATAAATAAATAATTTGTCTCGTTTTATTATTAATATTATTATTATTTTCGATTTTTTTTTTTTTTTTGACAAATTCACAACCTTCACGTAAAGTTATAAGTTAACTAAAATTAAATGTTGTTTTAGATTGTGATGCGTGAGGCTTTTTCAGCTACGCATGTCTTTTACTCAACATTTTAACCGGGAAAAAAACAAACAAACAAACAAACAAAAAACCTTATTTATTTATTTTTTTAAAATTTTAATTCGTTTCTTACCGAAAATATTCGTAATAATAATAATAATTACATAACGAGAGTAAATACAAAAAAAAAAAAAAATCGTTAGAGAGAATTTGTTTGTCCCCCCACATATTCAGATTAATAACAATAATAATAATTTTTTTTTTTTAATACCTTGAGTGATTATAGGGAATCCCCCCTTTTTTTTCTCATTGTGTGTATCCACAAAATTATAAAAGGTTTTACATGTAAAACGAGTATAAAACCCCGATTTTTTTTTTTTTTTTTAACGGAACCGCAAAACGGAAAAACTTTTTTTTTTTTTTGGGGGGGGGGGAAACAAAAAAAACAAAATTGAAATTTGTTCGTCGGAAAAAAAAAAAATTTAAAAAAAAAAAAAAATGAAAAATTTGCAAAAATTTTTTTTACATAAAAACGGGATTCGATACGGGGGGGGGGCGCGCGTGTTCGCCGCAGCAGAAGATAAAAAGAAATGCAATTTTAGTCTTTTTCCGCCCCCTCCCCTCACCCCCATGCCATTCCCCTTCGTACAATATCAACCCTCTCTCTCTCTCTTGAAATTCAACAAGAAATGACAAATAGAAAAAAAAAAAAAAAAAGATTTAAAATTAATTAATCTTCATTTAAACGTCAGAACAAAACTAACCAGACAAAAAAATTCACTTTATTCACGTGACACAAATTATTTAATAAAAATTGTGATAAAAACTATTACAAAATCGATTTGTCAATCTTAAAATAATAATAATAATAATAATAATAATAATAATAACAATTACTAAAAAAAAAAAATTTTTTTAACCTTCGAATAATTTTTTTTTTTTTGTAAATCAGATAAAAAAGATGAAATGAACGTTTTTACGTTAAAAAAAAGAACTAGCGGCCATTTTGAATTCCTTTTTCTTGGAAATGACGAATACACGGCGTCGTTTTAAAATAATTTTTTTTTTTTTTATCTCTTTTTTTTTTTTTAATTTAGATTCAAACGAATAAATGTTACTTTGTAAATTTTTAAACATTTTTTTTTTTTTAATTACTTAAACTAAAAATGTTTTTACGTTATCGAATTCGTACAACAACAAAAAAAAACCGTTAAGATATTGCATCATCATCATCATCATCATTCTCATGTTTTTATATAAATCTCGCGAGATTTTTCTTTT